GCGCAAAACGGAGGAGTAAACCGTATGTGGAGAAAGGTTGACTTATACCTTGAAAGCCTTTCAAAAACTGATTGGCCTGCATAGCAAGCGTTTCCGCGTTAGTTTAGAACTCAAAGAACTCGCGCAAGACCTTGCTGGTTGTGATGATTGCGTTATTTGTCACTGGCTGCCACTATTCTTTTCTCCTTCGTTTTAATACCTTAACAATTCGAAGAGAACAAACAAGATTCCTCACTCCTCTTTGAAAAGAAAATAGGAAGTCTACACCCTTTGTGATGTCGCCATCTCGTATGGGTCTGGTTTGCGGCGGAGGGGAGGCACAGTAATTTACGACAGCTGTTGTGGTGACTTCGCCCAAGAATATCGTTCACAGGCTCGTGCGCCTCTAGAGACGACGATCACCATTCACCACCGCCAGAATATACAATATTCGTTTCTATTTATGATTATTTTTCCTTAAATTAATTTATTTTCACTAAATTTCAACCAGTGATCGCCTCGAAAAGAAATGGAAATGTTTTTCAAACAGGTATAGCTCTCTTCAGTCTACCTATGAAATTTACACGACGAACCTTACCTTCTCTGACTAACATCTCCCCTGAGAGGAACATTTCTGGTCCCAAGGGTAGAGGCCTACTAATGAGAAGTTTGATTGACATCCTATGACCATTCAATGAAAGATATCGCGCAGTACACGCGTATGGAATTCTATACATTCTTGATGCCCTTCAGAATGCAACTTGGTTATGTTCTATAAATTCCATCTTGATTATCAGCAATAGTACGATGTATATCGAACATTAACACACTGTGGTATTGCGGTCTTTTCCCTTCTAACAAAACACTTTGTTTACAATTAACTCTGTGGAGTATTTGTTATCTTAAACGAAGTCTAACTTCAACCAACTGAGGTGTTTTGGTATTTTATGCTACGTGCATTAGCACTAAACAGTGATTGGCATTTTCTGTTATTGAGTTCGAACGATTGAATTTATTACCTGCCAAATGCTGTCTAAATATCCGTACGTATAAATTTGCACCCGAACTGCTTCTGCTGTTAACGACCATGATAGTTGTTCACTATTTTCAGAATATCCAACGCTTTATCCTTTGTTATCTTGATTTCGCTCAATATCAACAATTGTAGTCTTTTTTAGTTTGTTCACTGATGGATACCAACTGAAGCAGATTAACCGTTGAATGTAACAATGATGTCTACATCATCGAAGTTGGGCTAGGCGTCGTGAGCCTGTTCACCGTCTGATTCGCCAATTGTTTCACTGTCTTCTTCGTCTTCGGCTTCATCCTCACTGCAAGAATCTTCGTTTGTGGATTCCCTTGTTCGATTGCCACTACTAGCCTTAAAAAGGTTCAGTAGATCCATGAAACGTTTTTGGACCTGAAAGAAAAATATAAAACATATAATTGATTCAACAAAAGAAGGCCGCCAAGAGCTGAAAGAAAAAAAAAGTACGGGGAAGGAGTACAAAAAAACACGGCAAAACCACTGAGTGAACGTTGACAAATCGTACAAGCAGACAGGGGTCAGAATCGGGGATGATTTCATGGCATTTTAGTCATTTACATTTTTCTTAAGTGGTAAACTAATGTATGGATTTAGTCAGCCTTAAAGCGGAGCACCTGATAAATACCAAGAGTCTTCTTTGAATGAAAAATTACTAACAGGCCAGTGGATTACTAAAGAAATACGTGC